CCCGTTTGTATGAAATGTCCAGAATAGGCCAGTCTGCAGAGACGGTGGGTCAGGAGTTAGCCTGCTGATAGTACAGGGTTTCATTGGAGGCGATGAGTAGGGTTTTTTTGTTTTTTTTATTTAGTGTTTTATTTTTTTAATTTACATCCAAATTAGTTAGCATATAGTGCCAACAGTGATTTCAGGAGTAGATTCCTTAGTGTCCCTTACCCATTTAGCCCATCCCCTCTCCCACACCCCCTCCAGCAATCCTCAGTTCTCCATATTTATGAGTCTCTTACGCTTTGTCCCCCTCCCTGTTTTTATGTTATTTTTGTTTCCCTTCCCTTATATTCATCTGCTTTGTCTCTTAAAGTCCTTATGAGTGAAGTCATATGATTTTTGTCTTTCTCTAATTTCACTTAGCATAATACCTCCAGTTCCATGCACGAGGTTGCAAATGGCAAGATTTCATTCTTTTTGATTGCCGAGTAACACTCTGTTGTGTGTGTGTGTGTGTGTGTGTGTGTGTGTGTATACACACACACACACATACATACCACACCTTCTTTATCCATTCATCCATTGACGGAGATTTGGGCTCTTTCCATAGTTAGGCTACTGTCGATAGTGCTGCTATAAACACTGGGGTGCATGTGTCCCTTTGAAACAGCACACCTGTATCCCGTGGATAAATGCCTAGTGGTGCAATTGGTGGGTCGTCGGGTAGTTCTATTTTTAGTTCTTTTTGAGGAACCTCCATACTGTTTTCCAAAGTGGCTGCACCAGCTTGCATTCCCGGATGAGTAGGTTTTAAAATGAGATGGGGAAGGGTGCTTGGGTGGCTCTGTCGGTTAAGCGCCTGACTCTTGATTTCAGATCAGGTCTTGATCTCAGGGTCATGAGTTCAGGCCCCGCGTTGGGCTCCATGTTGGGTGTGGATCCTGCTTAAAAAAACCAAAAACCCAAAAAAGATAGTGGTGAGGGTTGCCTAATCACCACTGAATTATATTGAAAACCACTGAATTGCACACTTTAGAAGAGTAAATTTTGGGGCGCCTGGGTGGCGCAGTTGGTTAAGCGTCCGACTTCAGCCAGGTCACGATCTCGCGGTCCGTGAGTTCGAGCCCTGCGTCGGGCTCTGGGCTGATGGCTCAGAGCCTGGAGCCTGTTTCCGATTCTGTGTCTCCCTCTCTCTCTCTGCCCCTCCCCCATTCATGCTCTGTCTCTCTCTGTCCCAAAAATAAATAAACGTTGAAAAAAAAAAATTTAGAAGAGTAAATTTTGTGGTATGCGAATACAACTGTTATTGTAAAAAATTAGCATTAACAGACGAACGTTTGTCTTTGATTTTGATGGTAGGGAACATTAACTGTGTACCCCAGAGAAGCAAATGTTTGATCTCCTCTCCTCCCCCAAGAGTTTTGTCCTTCTCGTTAGTAGGGCTGAGAACAGAAAATAGTACTGAATTATAGTTTGAATTCCATCAATAAAAACACTGTGAGACTTTCTCTGCTTTTTGTAAAAGTACCTACAATTATATCCTTGGTGATCCTCTTGGCCTGCCAAGTTGAAAATATTGTCTGGCTCTCTACAGAAAACGTTTGCTGTTCCTTGGTCCCTTGCTCCAGCACCTTGTTTCTTCTGCCTGGTATCTCTCCTGCTCTAGTCCAAACTTCTCTTCGCTCTCGCAAGGCTCCACCTCAGCCACCTTTCCTTCGTGGGAAGCCTCCGCTTAGCAGCCAAGTGAGCTTCCTAAGTGCTTCTTGTACCATTTCTAATAGCAACAGCCATACCCCAGTCTTTTGCTTCTGTGTCTGTATTTCGCACCAGACTGTGCACGTCTGGCAAGCAGGGACTCTGCTGCGTTCGTTCTTATAATCCCTGGTGCCTCAAGAAGACACTTCAGTCGTTACTGGATGAATGGGTGAATCCACATTCGTGCATAAACCTCGGGATGCCAAACAGGAAACATGAAGCTAATGCCAGATTCCCGTTGTAAGTGAAGAGCTGCAGGAGCTCTTCTCATTTCTCCATATTCTTGACCTAATACGTTTTCTATGAAAAAAAATATACAGCTTTAAGAAAAAAATTAAAAAAAATTTTTTTAATGTTTATTTATTTTTGAGAGAGAAGGAGATACAGCATGAGCAGGGGAGGGACAGAGACAGAGACAGAGGGAGACACAGAATCCGAAGCAGGCTCCAGGCTCCCAGCTGTCAGCACAGAGCCCGATGGGGGGCTTGAACTCACGAACCGTGAGATCATGACCGCAGATGAAGTTGGACACTCAACCGACTGAGCCACCCAGGCACCCCCCCCAAAAATTTTTTTTAATGTTTATTTGTTTTTGAGAGAGAGAGGCAGGAGGAGGGGCAGAGAGAGGGAGACACAGAATCTGGAGCAGGCTCCAGGCTCTGAGCTGTCAGCACAGGGCCTGACGTGTGGCTCAAACCCACAAACTGTGAGATCACGACCTGAGCCCAAGTCAGACGCTTAACCAACTGAGCCCCCCGGGCACCCCCCCCCCCCCCGCCCCCAATATAGCTTTGACTATTAAGGGAGTATGGCCTAATTACAAGAAAAATCAGAAAATAAAATTAGTGTCCTCCTCCTACTCACCAAGAGATAAGCTCCTTAGTGACCTCTTAGTTCATTTCTGAGACATTTTAATGCACATCAGTGTGTGCGTATGTGCAAATGCGTTAATAAAAAAATGAGATCGTCCTTTTGTATAAACTGTTTGTCTTACGTACACTGTGAATGGCTTTGTGTGTCAATAAATATGCTTCGTAATTTCCGTAATGGCTATAATATCTCATCACCTGGATGAATCGTAACTTATTTAACCAAGTCCTCCTTATTTGGCATTTCAGTTGTTTCTGCTGGTTTGCCTTGATTGACCGCTATCTGATCAGCATTGCAGTAGCTAAATCGTGCGCACGAGGGCGGTTATTTGGTTAGGATAAATTCTCAGAAGTAGAATTATTAGACTGAAAGTGCATGCCCATGTTTGAAAAGTTGGACACGTGTTGTCAGACTGCCCTTCAGAAAGAGCACCTGTCCATGTGAAGTTTGAAAGTGCCTTCTGTCTGCCTAATAAAACTTGATTGGGATCTTTGAAGGTGTTACCTCTGCCGGGTAGAGAGATGTTCGTATTGCTCAAGGAGAAAGAGCCAATCCCAGCAGCTCAAACAACAAGGAGTCCCTTTTTCCACAATTAAATAACGTTTCTGCCTTCTTTGCTCTAAGTACTATGAACAGTAGAGAAAATGACATTTCCCTCTGCCTTTGGAAGCTTCGAGTCTGCATTGTTATGGTTTTGTCCAGTCTCCCTGTCAGAGGACAAGCCCTGTCTCTGGAAGATACCACTGATAAGGAATGTCCGGTTTCAGGTGTAGTCCAGCCAAACACATTAGATAATGGAAATATACTGATATACTCACTTGGCCATCAAACACATTTCCCTTTGGAAAATTGGAATTGACACCACTCGGCCAGAAAAATCTGGTTTGCAGGTTCATGAGATCTGCAGACATGCCCAAGAAATTAAGTAGAAGTGTGCTAATTATGATGGGTGTAGATGGAGGGATTGTTCCCCCGCTCTTATCTGGTGGCACAGATAAGAAATAAAAGTGATTTCTGTGCATTGGATCAAAGTAAAAATTGGGTTAGATGGCATGTGATTTGATCTTTTATTTATTTATTTTTTAATGTTTTAAAATGTTTTTATTTATTTTTGAGAGAGACAGAGTGTGAGCAGGGGAGGCACACACACACACACACACACACAGAGAGAGAGAGAGAGAGAGAGAGAGAGAGAGAGAGAGAGAGACAGAGAGAGAAAGACACAGAATCCGAAGCAGGCTCCAGGCTCTGAGCTGTCAGCACAGAGCCCAATGCTGGGCTCAAATTCATCAACCATGAGATCATGACCTGAGCTGAAGTTGGCGCTTAACCGACTGAGCCACCCAGGCGCCCTACATCTTTTAAAATCTTTTGAGTTCATTATTATTATGCTTTTCCTTCTTTTTTCATCTTATTCATATATTCATATCTGTTTCCTGACGACCCACTGTAGGCCATGTCCTCTAAGTAATTTTTAAAATGTTGCCTTTGTCTGTCATTCTGATCTTTTTTCCCTTAATGTCCACTGGTTTTAATCATAATTTGTTAAATGGAAACCTTTTTAAAAGGCAAAACAAAGTAGCAAAGCAATTCAAGATACTACTTAAAGTCCCAGTTGAGGGAAAGAGCTATAAACTTACATCTTGGAATATTATATAGCCAAAGAATTTGTGGTAACGTGGGGGTAAGGTTTACAGATCAGTAAGTTAAGTACAATTACAATATTCTACAAATAGTGCGAGTTCAAATCTCTGCTTTTTAAAGCATACAGAAAAGACCAAATGAAGCAGTCCAGATTATTCTAGTTTTCACTGAATGGTAGGCTCACGGATAATTGTGCCTTCTTCCTGCTCTTCAGTTTTTCTTCGAATTTTTTTAACGGGCATATGTAACCAAGGGGAAACATAAAATGCCAGCATAAAATATTTTATGTGTGTTGCTTTTTAGACGATAAGGTGAAGAAGTAGGGACTGAACCGTTTAACTGTTAACTGTTAAAATCTGGTAGTTATAGGAACACTATCAAAAGAGTGGGAAGCACAGAAGAGAAGACATTTAATTGTGAATGATTTGGAATTTATATGAAATTTAGATATACAATACTTGCATTTACTTAAAAATGTCTGAGTTCGTTAGCATTTACTTTGAATGTCAGTGGGTCAGGTTCATCAAGATCATAAATAAGGTAATGATAATCTCAATAATAGATATGCCAAATGAATGGATTCTCGTCAAGCGCTCTGATTGACAGTGTTCTGTGGTCTCTTATTAGCGGGTGCCATTCTGTGATGAACATACCTGGTAGGGAATGTGTGTGTGAGCGTGTGGGAAATAATAGAGTATGAAACTTGTTATTTCATCTTGTTCATTGAACTCTGTCTAATCTCATTTTAGGAGAATGACATCTTCCTGGGCTGGGAAAAAGGAGCTTATAAGAAATGGGGAAAGAGTAAGAAAAAGTGCTCAGATCTAACTCTAGAAGAAATGAAAAAACAGGCTGCTGTCCAGTGTCTTCGTTCTGCTTCTGATGAAGTAGGTTTGCATTTTGTTTCTAATACTTACGAGGAGAAGAAAGAGGCGGGGCAGGGGGTGGGGCTAAAGGTACACAAATGCAACGTCTTGACCAAAACAACTTAGAAAAATAAACTATTCATTGTCTTACCACTGTGATGTGAACACGGTCCTTTTTTCCTTTTTGGTATTTTTCTTCATAAGTTGAGTTTTATAAAGTACATTCTTTCATAAGTGCTATTAGAGTATACACAAAATTTTGTGTCCTTTTTTTCCGATTTAACATGTTCTATCTTCTTACATTATCTTCATTCTTTTTAGTGGCTAAGTTATATTTCCTCAAGCAATATTCCAACAGCAATATAATATACTCTTTATTACTGGCTATTTACTTAGTTTTTTTTGGGGGGGGGGGGAGTTATCTCTACGTTCAGACTCCTGACTCCCAAGATCAAGGGTCCCATGTTCTTCTGACTGAGCCATCCAGGGGCCCCTACTTAGTTTGCTCTTGAGTTTTTGTTACGCTCTCCAGAGTGTTTCCACGTGTGGCTTTTCCGTGTCCTATATTACTTTTAGCTGCATTCCCATAAGTGGGGTAGCAATGCTGGTATTTTAAGGACACTGTCTTTGTTTATGATTCATAATTTTTTGTTTGTTTTTTAGAAAGTATCGTAAGATTTTTTTTTTCAGCTCCGTGCCTGTCGCGTTGCTCTACGAACTGAGCCAGCCAGGTGCCCCCTATAAGATTATTTTTATCCATCTTCTAATACTTCACGTAAAATATTTCTCCTGTCCTTCATGCTGACAGAACAAAATAGATTTAGAGTAAAATCACCCATTTAGATTAATACTATGCAATTCTTATTACTCAGGACAAGACGTACTCTTGAGATCATAACCACTTAGAAAATTATGTTGCTTTCACCACTGTTTGTGATGGTGCGGTTCAAAAAGTACCTTTGTAAAGCAGAGTCGAATTGGGAGGATTCATACAAGTTACTGAAACTGCCTCATGAGCTGAGTCCTCTAAAGGCTGATGTTGGGGTAACCAGGGTTGCCACATCTGATAATCTACAGAGGTGTATTCTTTGTGGCTGCCGCCCACCACGCATGCCTCTTGAGGTTTGTTCACTGCTTCCCGGCAATGTGTTCTCCTCCTGCTCAGAACCGTCTGTGAGAGCCCAGGCCCCTGGCGTGGGCTCCCGCTGCCTCGTGCTGCCTCACGTCCTCCACTGCGGGTGTTCGTCCTGGCTCCCCTTCGTCGCCACGCTCACTGTGCTCCTCGGGGACTGAGGCTGTGAGCTGCCCGTGTGTTCATGTCCTGGTACCCAACTGAGCGAGTACGATCACCGGCGGTACCGCATTTCTCTCTAACGGAGTTGAATGCTCAGTGTTTAAGGAGTGTTCCTTGTCGTCCCGCCCTTGTCCTCTCCCTCTGTTCTCCCCTCCCCTCCCCACCCCTTTGATTTGTTAACCTCTGATCTCGCGAAACTGCTGCCTCGCGGACTGTGGGATAGGACTTTGGAAGTGACCGCTCATGGGTGGTCTTGATCAGGTACCGCTTCGTTTTGGCAAGTGGGACGTAATGAGCCTGGTCTAAGGAGTGGGAATACACCTGCAGCACACAGGGGACTCGCGATGCCGAGTGCTGGGGACGCAGGGCCGGAGAGCAAAATGATGGACAGCCAGAGTCATTTTCTCTAATGAGCCACAGTCTCTCCTCCGCTTCTCTCTCTGCTTCTGGGTCATTCCCTCTCGGCTGAAGGCTGGTGGAAGCTGGGACCCAGCACCTGTCACCTAGGGAGGAACACAAGTGGCCGGGAGTCCACCGGTTTGGATGCGTGGCAAGGAGGGGGCAGAGGTGCCTGGGGGGGTCCCGTCCTTGAGCAGTGTGCTTGCTCACACAGAGACAAGGGGGTGGTCAGATGCTTCCTCAAAAGCCGTTTTCTACCCGACCCAGAAGGGAAAGTGATTTGGAGTTTAAAATGGAGAGGTTAGTTCAGGTAAATTCTTTGAGCAAATTCCAAAGAAGCTGCTGAGTCATGGTTGGGAGGAGAATGCGAGTTGAGGGTTTCAGTCTGGGAAGGGATCTTATTTCTGCTTTGGACCAGAGTTGCTGGGAAATGACTCTTGCCTGGACTCATGGCGGAGGGAAGCTGAGTGGAAAACAGGGCGCCCCGAGCGAACGGCCGAAGAATGAGGAGTGTGGGCCCCTGCTCCCCGGCCTGCTGAGCTCTCGGCCGGTTGATGCTGGCCGGGCGTGGCAAGTGCTGGCGGCCCCTTGGTGCGCGGTGGACAGACTCAGTGCGGCGCAGACGGAGGAGGGCGGTTCTTGACATTGTTGCTTTGCAGAAATGCTTTTCCTTGCTGGGAAGCCAAAGCTGGGAGTTTTGTTTACAAACCCAGTGAAGTATACTTGTCCAGTTTCTTCTTATTTTGTAAAATAATTGTTGCATTGCTTTTTCCTAATGATTGTTTTTAATCCTATCAACTGAAAATCAGCTGAGGAAACGAACCCGCCAGGCATGTGCCAGGAGCTGGGTGCGAGCTTAGGGAAGAGCTTAGGGAACGAAGGAAGCGGAAGAAGGAGGTTCTCAAGCCCCGCCCGCCTTGTTCGGACCGCCCGCTGTGATGTGTGTGCATCAGCACAGCGTCCTCAGGCGGGCTCTCCTGGCTTTTGGGGAGTCAGTGGAAAGAACCTGGGGGGGAATATCCTCTTTCTTTGTGGCCTGTAACAACAGAAGGGAATCACTGTGCATGTTCATAAACTATAGGCTATACGTCCCCAGGCTTTTCTTTCTAGACTCTGCCTGCTGGCTGCAGTGAAAATAAAGGCACAAAGAGGTCCTACCTAGGAAATTAGAACGCTAACGTTTTGCTCTCTGTTTGGGCCACAGTGAATGTTGGCCTATGGGTGTGATGTTCATTTCCTAGGACTGAGGATGGTGATGTACGTGGTTCCGCGCTTTCCCACCCAGCCACTGCCAGCTGATCAGAATCAAAAGCCGCTAGACAGTTTACAGTCTGACGGAAATGCTAGTGATGTAACCGCGAGGGTAACCTGAGTGCTGCTATCGTTCTGTTGGGTAGGCCGGTAGAGGTGAGGTTAAGCGTTACCTGGGACATGAGTTCTTTTCTCGTGACTTCCACGTGTGCCTGTGTCACGATTACAGGTACGGCGTTAGTCGTTGCTGTAAAAGCAGCCGTGGCATCAGACTCCAGTGCGTCATGGTTGCCGTGGAGAGGCTGACTTTCCGGACTGTGCCTCTCCATGCTCGTGATGTGACTGTGTGTCTCCTTCCACTTTGTCCCTGCAACAAGTTGTGCCCCACATCACAGCTTTGACCTGCTTACCTCAATGTTTTGTCACAGAGGCATCGCCAAAACAGCACGAAACACAGTTATGTCAAACTTAACTGTACACATTGTTAAAATTTGACAAAGAATTTGGGCGGTTGGTGAGTGTTTATTCCTCCAGGAGATCATGACCCTCACGGGCCTTGCTGTTTGTTTGTTAGGTTCTGCTGAAACTGCCTCTGCCAGTTCCCTTTGCTTGCACGTGCAAAGAACACACAGTTCTCTGGCCAGCCATTTTCTTTTTTTTTTTTTGAATGTTTATTTTTGAGAGAGTGTGTGTGTGAGCAGGGAGGGGCAGACAGAAGGGGAGAAAGAGAGGATCCCAAGCAGGCTCTGTGCTGTCGGCACGGAACCTGATGCGGGGCTTGAACCCACAAACTGTGACATGAGCTGAGCCGAAACCTAGAGTCGGACGCTCAACCGACTGAACCCCCCCCCCTTCCCCCAGCCCTTGGCCATTCATTTTCTGTAGCATGCTTTGCACCTGCTGTGGCTGCATTGTAACAGGGCCCGTAATGGGGCTGGTGCAGCTCACACGTCCCCCAAATGTGCTTTTATTAAGTGATGCTTTCCTGAGCTCTCTGTCTCTGTTGTCAGTGGACGCGGTATGTGCCTGAGGTTGAATACATCCAGATCCCTTGCCCCGTTTTAAGAAACATAAAAGAGCGTTGAGGTTTGTCAGCTATCGTTATTTACAATCCTCAAGTTTAGTTGGCTCTGCCTTCTCTGTCCCCAGGGTTCAGGCTTTTCATATTGTTTTAGTTTTGTTTTCATAATAAGTAGTTCTATTTCTGCTTGTTTTAATGGAGCTTCTGAAAACTGCACTAAAGGTGGTAGTTCGCCGTCCATTTGGGGGCATCCTTGGAAGATGAGCTGCACCCGGCCGTCGGGGGGCCGTAAGTGAGGCTCAGAGGCAGTATAGCTTTACGTTTTGGGTGTCGTCCTGCCCCACCCACCCCATCGAAGAGCCTCGCAGAGGATTGATGCCCCGGCTACAGCGGGGCCCTTCGTCAGTTGCTCATGTTCTCACACTGACCGAAACCCGCCAGTAAGAGTAATACTCCATCGTAGTATTTGCATATGTGGTGTTCGTAGGCTGTGCCGGGTTGGATATACAAGATACAAAAACCATGTTACGTGTTTCCTGGCAGTTTACTGTTAAAGTTAATTTTGACGATGTATTTGCACACTGACTTCTGAACTTAACTCGTTCTGGATAATAAAACAAGGATCAGAACAATGGTAACTAACATTTATGGAGCACTTACAATGTATGAGATTCTGAGCTGTGCAAGAGGTGAGGCTGTGCTCCCCCTGTAGGCCAGACCCCTGAGAAGCCCGTGGCTAAAGCTGAGAAGGCTCACGGTGGCTGTGTGGTCACAGCCAGCCCTGCCGAAGAAGCCTTGGCCTTATCTTCTCACTCTAGGTGGAGGGAGGGGCATTCAGGGGCACCTGGAGGCCGATGGGAGGGTTTTGGCTCTTCCTCGGGGAGGTGGCAGAGGGCTGGAGGGTCTGGAGCAGAGGCTAGTGTAACCTGACTTTGACACTGATAGGGCCCCATGGGCCGCTGGGCTGGGGGTGGTGGGGGGGCAGGGGAAGACTCCGAGAAAGCGGTGGTCTGGAAGGTAGAGGACCGTGAGCACTAGTTGGATTCTAGATATATT